GAATTCAATGAGGAACTGTATTTCGTCGGTGGGGAGAGGGATAATGGTGAGATTAATGAAAAAAAATTATATCTTGAAGTAACTAAATTGTTTATTTTTTTTATAAAAAGATATTGATGTTCAAAAACAAGTGCCAGTTACTGGATGGGTAGCGAACAGTATACTTAGGAGGTGCTTTTATCCTCAACTGTTGATCATACCACAAAAATGTTCATCCTTCTTCACAACTCATCAATGACTTAAAATTAAAATTTTAAAATTAAAGTAAACATTTTTAAAACTTTTAGCGTCAAACAAACAAAAAAATAATGGTCATTGCTAAAAACAACAACCAAATAATTTTTAACAAAATGTCACAATTTACAAGTTTAGTTTCAAATGATTACTCAAAACGCAAACTTTGTAAGTTTTGTAATTTTTGCAGTTTACAATAAAACAATACACTTGAAAAAACAAAACAAAGTATCTATTCTTTTTTCAAATAAGCAACTTTTGTATTAGCTTTCACTACTACTACTACTACTGCTCTCCCACAATGCAGCTCAAAAAGTAAAAGTGTCCGAGCTAATAATTACTGGTGCAGCATTTCCCTAGCTAAAAATGTTGATCATTGCAAAAAAAAAACAATTTCACTTTCTCCGCAGTAGAAGCGAAAGGCAAGGAGGGGAAAAAGGCAGTCGATATCTCGGCGCAGTCATCTTCATCAGCAGAGGCTGCATCAGCTGAGTAGAGCTATTAGTTACTACCAGTCTGAAACTCAGTGCAGTCAGTGTCTGTATCCTCATCACCATCAACGGGAGGGAAAAAATCACCGCAAAGATAGATCAATCGATAAGAGCTCAATCGGTGTCTGCTGCTGCTGACCAAAAACAAAACGAGAAGGCAAGAGAATAGGTAGCGGTGGTGGTGGCGGCGGTGGCGGTTCTCCGCCTTGAAGTGCTGATGGCCCAGTTTTTATTTCTCTTCTTCTCAGCGTTTGACTTCTGGCGAGTTTGGCCGCTTCCAAAGTGGAGAGAAGAGAAGACGGACAAATGCAGACGGGCAGATAAACTGGCTCTCTTCTCTTTAATTTCTCTCTCATTTTAGTTTTCGTTTTCAAGTTTTCTCTTTCTCTTTCTCACTTACTTCGGCTATCTAAAAATGTAGCCCATCTGAAGGTGTGTTCGCCGCCAAACTGTCCGCTCTGTGTGATCGAACTGTTCGTCTTTTCTTTCTCTCTCTCTCCTCTTAAAAAGTGGTTCTTCGGACAGATTTTTAGATTTTGTCTTCGTCTGCCTCTCCCTAGGTACTGCTTCTCCTTCTCTTCTATGCTCGGTATATAAAGTGAAAGTCGTCCGGGTAGCAGGGCTAGTGCCTCTCTTCAGTTTGTGTGTTCCCGCTTCTGTCGCCGTCATTTTAGTCCGTGATTTAATTTTCTTCTTCTTCTTCTTTTTGTGATTTGTGAGGTCTTAGCATGCAAAAGGTATTACTGATTTTTCACTTTCAACTTAATCATCTTTTTCTTCAACTTCTTCATCATCTGAGCCAGTGTTTCGTGTACAATCCTATCATCGATCACTAAATCTTCACCCTATCTTTGCAGATCACCCTCGTCTGTCTCGCCGCCGTCCTCGGCCTCAGTCATGGCGCCCCCTACTCGGGCTATGGTGGCGGTGGTGATTCTGGTTCAGGTGGCCTCTCCTTAGGAGGTTATGGAGGTGGTGGAGGTGGTGGTGGATCTCAGGATTATGGCCTCGGTGGAGGAGGTGGTGGAGGTGGAAATGGTCAACAGGTGCTAGAGGTCTCCCCCGAGCAGCTGCCCGTGCAGGTGCACTTCCGAACTGCGTCCAGCCGAGTGAACGTTCAGCAAAGCCACAATCCGAGCATGGCGCCCAAGACGGAGTTTGCCTCCTTCCAGGATGAGCCTCATCGGGTGAGTTGAGATCATCGAAAAAAAAGTATAAAACTGTCTAACTTCAAAATTCTTAGGTCGTCCACGAGGTGGTCAAGCCCGTCATCCAAGAGGTAAACGATTAATCGATTTTTTAACTTTCATTTTTGCTTATCAACCGCCTTATCAACTCTTCCTACTTACCAGGTTCGAGAGATCATTCAGCCGTACAGGCGCGTGACACAGGAGATCAGACCCGTGATTGAGGTAAGAAGATGGGCTTTAAAAGCCTGAGTATTATTCTACAATAAATCCGCTTTTTCGCAGGAGGTGCACACCGTCGTCCACAAGGGCGAGAACCGAGGTCGAGGAGGAGGCGGCGGCTCTGGATCAGGTCTTCAGAAGGGCGGCGGCGGCGGCGGTGGCTACGGCGGACAGATGGGCGGACAGTCCTACAAGTCAAAGGCGTAAAGAAAAAAAAAGACTTCATAAAAAAATCCATCGCACAACCCTTGCTGATTACAACCTGGTGAAAGTTATCCTCATCATCATCTTATTATCACTCGAGTGCCACCACCAACATCACCACCAGACAAAGAAGAGAAGATCCCAAGTCTCATTAAACATTTTCCTCTCATTTTTGTACAAAACTTTCTGGGGAGCTTCCCCCTCCAGAAACGATATCATATTAAAAAGCCGTGTAAAAACTGATCCCTTTCTTGTGCATTGCGCTTTGCAAAGTTTTTTCTTCCTCTGATTGAAAGTTTGTGTCCGATGGCAAAAGAGAGGTCTTTCCTCTTTCAACTTTCTTTGCTGTGTGATCGACTGTGTGGAGGCGCCAAAAATAGCCTTTCAACTCTCGTTCGTCTTCGTTTTCGTTCGCTTTCACCTCCGTCCATCACCACAGGCGTAAACTAGTCCAGTGCGCGCGCGGGCTATTTATATTGTTGCACTCTCTCCGTTCGGTATTGACTGCTTATCAACCCGCTATGATTGTGCTCAAAGGCGAAAGCGGGTGGCGAGAAGAAGAAGAAGAGGAGCTCCTCGTAGACTTTGACATAACAACACACTCACTCAACAAAAACACAACTTGAACTGCTATATTTGTCCTAATGGAAACGATGGTAACGGCGGGAGAGAAGTACTCTTTCGAAGAAGGTGGAGAAGGTGGCATCGATTGACGTTGATGGCTGCAGGTCGTCTGAGGAGAAGTAGGCAGGTTTACTTGCTGCTGCTGCTGCTGCTTCATTAGCTGCTGCTAATTGTTCTCCTCGTTTGCTGTAATGAGAAGAGGAGAAGAGTTGGTGGCCAATGACTATATTATCTTCCTCTGCTCCTCCTGACGACGACATTGTCTTGTTCTGGGTACTACATACTGTACTTTACTGCCAACGATGATGATGTGACCTTTGCGGGCGATGTATTTTGAACTAGATTCCACCTGCCAATGAGAGCAACAGGTAATGGCAGCAAACGTAGGTTTTTTTCTCTAAGCCTGCCCGGTTGTAAATCAACTTCACTTCTCTCTTCTCTTAACTCTTAACTTGTAGATCGGGCGTCGGTCGTGAATTACCATTGTCGTCGATGGTGATGGCGATGATGGCGACATACTGCTGAGAATTGAAAGTGGTCCTATTTTTGGCACTCAATGGGCTTGGAAACTGAGTCACTTGCTCGCTGTGTCGCTCTGTGTGTGGTCGCCGGGTAAAAGTAGAAACCCTTTGTAAGAAAAGGAAGATAATGGAGTTGCTCACGAGGCAGAGAGGTGGAGGATGAGCTGATAAGCTACCGATCTGATCAGATGAGAAGATGAGGTGGAGGGGGCCTTGGAATATTTCTGCACTTGTTGATCACGGCGAAAGAGTGAGAGATTACGATATGGATTATCATCACCACATCATCGGTGTTGCAGGCAGGCACCGGTCTCTGCAGGAGCGAAACAGTTCCCTTTCATTACCATTCTTCATCCTTTCTTTGGTGGCAGTGACAGCACAGGTTATAACTAAACTTGCTGTTGGCCAAAGAAAGAAAAACGGCTTCAAAAGTGGGAAGCAAAACAACAACAAAAACAACAAAAGAAGAAGTTGCCAATTTTGAACAGTAGCAGCGGTGACAAAGAAACTCATAAAGATTTGTTTCTGAACCAAAAGTTTTTCCCCATTGTACACCGCTTGGTGATCTATTGACCTGTTGTTCTGCTTGTTTCTTTCTTTTTCATTTTTTGCTGCAATCGCTTTCCATTTCCACTTTTTCTTCTTCTTCTTCGCCTGCTCTGATTTTTTTACACTGTGCGTGCTCGGGGATCAAAAAGTGTATCAAATATGTCCAGCCACTGCTGCTACTTTTTTCTGCCCAACTTTCGCTTCCTTGGTCGATATCTGCAGTTGCTGCTACTGCTGCTGCTGTTTTTAGTTCCGGAACGGGGCACTTTCTTCTTTCTTCAGCCGTCTTCGAAGTCGTCGTCTTCGTCGTCTTTCGGCGCAGTGGAAGGCAGCTGCATTAGCAGTCAAGATGATATCGAGTACTTCTTTGCGCTGAAGACTAACGCCAGCTACTGGAAGTGGATCAAGCCAAACGGTAAGTGGTGGTCTTTTAAAAGGTGATACTACTAAACTGCCTCTAACTGATGATGAGATGGCGGAGATGATAGGGCGAAGATAAACGATAATTTTAATGCCGATGACATCCTCGTAGTAGTAAAATATTTTGACCACGTCTTTCATCAGCTGATTTTCGATGTTTCTTTTCCTCCTCTTCCCCACCAGGGCAAGCCACAACCAACGTGACGGTGTCGGCGCAGCTGAATCGAGTCGCCTTCTACAATGACGTCGACTCGACCTTTGACATTCAGCTGCTGCTGGAGCTACAGTGGCTCGACGACCGCCTCACCTTCCTTGGAAATGAGTGCAACAAGACCAGTAAAGTCAGCTTGAGCCTGGCTGAAGATGGATCTACAGTCGAGGAGGTGATTGAGGTGGCAGTGGAGGACTTTACCATTGAAGGCAATGAGTGGCACTTCTCCAAGATCTGGTCGCCGAAGCTGAGGATCGCGCGGAACAAGGACGCAAAGGGATTGGACGCCTCGGTGATGTTCCTCCGGATCAACTCCACCGGACATGTGAGGGTGAGGATGAGGTAAGTGTGGAGTTTCTGTTGTCTTGTTTACTGTTTTTGACACTTTTGTTTCCATTTTTCAACCTCTTCTCAGGAGCAACGTCCACCTCTTCTGTCCGATGGACTACCGCAAGTACCCTTTTGACTCTCAGAGTTGCATCATCAAGATCGTCTCCAACGATCTGTCCGCGGAGAAGCTGATGCTTCGGTGGACGGAGGACGAGCGCGCCCAGCTGACCATCGACGACAACATGTACATCAGCAGCCACTCGCTGGAGTTCTACTCGATGAGCAGCGGCACTAGTCGGGTCAAGGATGAATGGTAAGGGAGTTTTTTGAAGAGGAGCTTATCATCGAGTTCTAAATCACACCTTCTTCTCTTCTTCTTCAGTTTCAGCGACCTCTCCATTGAGCTGCATTTCAAGCGGCAGTGGGGCCACTACATGCTGACCGTCTTCTTCCCCAGCATGCTCATCGTCGCCACCTCCTGGCTGTCCTTTTGGGTGGAGATCACCTCCCCACCGGCCCGCATCACCCTCTGCGTCACCACCCTCCTCGCCCTGGTCACCGTCTCCAAGGACGTCCAGGCGGACCTGCCCAAGGTGCCCTACATCAAGGCCACCGACCTGTGGTTCGCCGGCTGTGCTGGTAAGAGTGGTTTGTTGTTTGTTTATCTTTTTGCTGATTTTGAAGTTCTATTTTCCCTAGTGTCCATCTTCCTCTCCCTCATCGAGTACATCATCGTCGCGTACACCTTTCGCGCGGAGAGCAAAAAGTACAAGGAGCGGAAGAAGATGAAGCGCAGCTTGAGTTCGATTTCATTTTCCAGTATGGACACGACGGCGGCCGCCGCCGCCGCCTCCTTCGCCAAGCTCGACTCGTCGGCCTTTCTCTCGCCAATGGTCAGTGCAGTCCAGTGCTGATCACGATTATTGATCTCAATTTGATTTGCTTTCTTTCTCTTTCTCCCTTTCTATCAATCACCTGTCTAATTTGANGCGGGCGCCAACGTCTATGTTGACATAAAACGCTCTTTTTGTCTCAACAGACGCTAATGTTTTTGCATAGAAAAATTAAATCAACTGCTTTACTAAACGAGATGGCGTTGTCATCGTCCGTACTTGCTGGCGCGTCCGCACTGTGAGTTTTGCCTGTAGTAGTGCACGTGATTGAAGGTTTTAGAAAGAGAGTGACGGGCGCAATTTATTTGGATCAGTGCAGGAGATTAATTAATACGTAGTTTTTGCGTTGATTTATTTCCTTAACATCTCAATTTTTGTTTTCTATTTTCAGGAGTACGACCGCTTCAGCAGCCGCCGCTCTTCCAACATCAGCCTCCTTCAGCACAGTCACAGCCATCCTCAAAACTCCCATCACTACCACCATCATTATCAGCAGCACCAAAGCCATTACCACCAAAGCAATTCCAATTCCCACCCTCACCCTCAGCCTCTGGGAGGCCTGCAGCAGCAGCGAAACTCCCTGCCTACCTCCACTCCCTCAGCCCTTCCCCCACCACCCCGCATTCACTTTACCTTTTCACCCCCTGAGTCTCCGAGCGCCGTCACCGGCGGCATCACCGATTCAACACTGAACCTGCTGTCACCCCCTGAGTCACCCCCCTTCCCCTACACGCTCAAGGACACGCCGCAGGAGGTGGCCGAGTCGATCGACCGCAAGTCGCGCATCATCTTTCCCTTCATGTTCGTCCTCTTCAACCTCATCTACTGGAGCTACTACAACTGAACAGTTTTTTAGTTTAGTTGACAAAACGTCAGACGTGTTCTCCACTCGCCATTTTCCTCCTCCATCTTCCTCGCTTTTTTGCAGCAATCGTCGCAGCAGCCGCAGCAGCAGCAATGCTATCATCTCTAGCGATCTTCGTCTTTTCTGACTTTCCTCTCCACAGTTTCTGCTTTTTTTCTTATCGTACGATCTCGAAGTTGATGCTGCTGATGATGATGTGGAGGCAAAAGCAACAGCAGCATCAGTAGTCGATGACAATAAACTAAGACAAGAGAGTGAGTGAAAGTACCACCAATAAAAAACCGAAAAAGAGTATTAGGCGAGTAAAGTAAACTGTGAACTGTGCGCGATAGCAAAGCGGACAAGTACACTCTTCTCTAAGCTAAACACTAGCGATAAGATTTTGGTGATGATAACTGACTGGTGGTGACTGATTGTGGTAGGCAATACTATTTCTCTGGAGGTAAAATTCCAAACTGGCTGTCTGCTTTCAGTCTGCCTGCCACTTTCGGTGTTTACGTATTGCCACTGTGTGTGTACTGACCATCGAGCCGATCGAGCCATCGTTTCATGTAATAAAATCTAAATCGAAGATTGCAGTAGCTTGCCGTGGTGCACCACGAACTTATCACCGTTTTCCCCGTCGCGATCGTTTCATCGCACTCACGTGCAATCAAAGAAAGTGTCGGCAGAAGCAGCAGCAGCAGCCTCAGGTTCATAAGCCTGTTTTCTTCTTCACTTTTGCAGTTGATTGAGTTTCAACAGCTGCTGCCGCTCACACGTGTGAAGATTTGCCTTCCTTTTCTATTTTCTTTGCTTCCTTCAAAAGGTGACGACAATAGAAAACAGTTGACCTCAAATACGGAAAAGAACAATTTCAGCATGGAATGCCAAACCGTCCTGGGGTCTCACGTGGCCAGGTCGTTCATGTAAGTGCAGTAAATGTTTTCCTTATGATCATTGCTTAATTATTTTTAATTATTTTCTCACAGTGAAGACCTGAAGACGCACGTGAAGGAGAACAACCTGCAGGTGAAGCTCGTCTCCTTCCTCGCCAACGCCGACCCCAGCGCCGAGCAGTACGCCGAAGTGACCAAGCGAAGTTGCGCCCAGTCGGGCATCACCTTTGAACTTCGAAAACTGAACCGGGAGGCGCTGGAGGAGGCGATCATCGCCGCCAATGACGACGACTCCATCCACGGCATCCTCGTCTACTACCCGGTGTTCGGCGGTGGCCACGACCAGTACATTCAAAACTGCGTCGACCCTTTTAAAGATGTGGAAGGTCTCTGTCATCTCTTCCGCTTCAACATGTACCACAACATACGGCACATTCACGGCCGCAAGGACCTGAAGCCGGTCATTCCCTGTACGCCGCTGGCTGTGATCAAGGTACAAAATGGAGAATTTAATTTTTGTACAATTTTTCTTATCAGCCATTTTCCCTAGATTTTAGAGTACTGCCAAGTGTACGACGAGGACGCCCCCTACGGTAATCAGCTGCACGACAAAACCGTTACCATAATCAATCGAAGTGAGGTCGTGGGCAGACCGCTGGCCGCCCTGCTCGCCAACGACGGCGCCAAGGTCTACTCGGTGGACATTGCCGATGTCCTGCTCTTTCACCGCGGCCACAATCTGCAGTTCAACAAGTACCGCGTGGAGGACTGTCCGGGGCTGAAGGTGGAGGACGTCCTGCCTCGCTCCGACATTGTCATCACCGGAGTGCCCAGTCCCAACTATCGAGTTCCGATTGAGCTGCTCAAAGGTTTGCAAGAAAAAGGAGTTTGTTTTGATGGAGTTTTGCTAATCAAACTTCTTTTTTCTCCCCTGTAGACGGAGTCGTCGCCGTGAACTTTGCCTGCGCCAAGAACTTTGACGCCGAGTCGATCAAGAGGAAGGCCTCCCTCTTTGTGCCGACCATCGGCGCGGTGACCACGGCGATGCTGCAGCGAAACTGCGTCCGCCTCTACAAGTACAGCCAGAAGAGCATCAACTCGAGGACGGTGAGGCCGATTGGGGCGAAGAGGAAGACGTCGCCGACCATTTCAACAGATGCAGCAGCAGCAGCAGCAGCAGCAGCAACGACGTCTTCGGCGACGTCTTCAGCGACGTCTTCAACGACGACGACAACGCCGACGGCACCACCAACAGTCAAAGCAGAAAATGGTGGCACCTGTTGATGTCATCTTTGTACACTGAAAAAATCTTTTTCCTCTCATTTCACCCATTTTTTTACTTTTGGATTGTTCGCCCGATAATCTCTCTTTATGCTTAAATACTCTTTCCTAATTTGTTTTTATTATTGCACTTTCTCTACTACTTTGCTAATTTTCACCTTCACTGGTGCTGAAGGTGGTGGTGGTGGTGGTGATGGACGACTTCCTTAATGTCCTCTTGGTGGTGGTGGTGGTGATAACTACTGCTGCTGCTGCTGTACACAGCTCCGTTTGTGCACTCAATCGGTACCTGTTCGCTGTACGAGTGGACCACGTTCATTGTTGCTGAGGAGTTGAGCTGTTGCTGCTGGTGCATGTAAGAAAGTGAAGAGGAGTTCATCAGCGGCTGAAGTTGTTCTTCGTGGCTGTTGTGCTGGTGATGGTCTGACATTGACTGCTGCTGCTCCTGCTGAAAAGTGTTTGCTGAAAAGTCGTAGTACTGCAGACTGTAGTCAAAGGTCTTCTGGTGGTGGTGATAGTGGTTCTCAGGGGCTTGAGTTGAGCTGTGCTGATCAGACTGCTGATCAGGCTGCTGCTGCTGCTGCTGCACCAGTTCACCTGAGCAGACGTCGTGAACTCCATTGACCAGTTGAAAGCACTGCGAAGATTGGTTCAGTTGATTCAACTGCTGCTGCTGCTGCTGCTGCTGTTGCTGATTAGAATCGAAAGAAGAGGACTCTTGTTGAGGAATAAGAGGAAGTTGTTGTTGCTGCTGTTGAGAAACTCCCGAAGAGTTTACTGATCCAATTTGCTGCTGCTGCTCCACCACTGAAGTGCTCAAAATGGTCTGATTCGCCAGCCGCATGATGCCGCTGATCTGTTGCGTCTTCCGCTGCCGCTTTCGAATCCAGTCCTTGCGCATGGAGACGGGTCTACAGAAAAAAGTAAAAAATATGTTTCCAAACTTTTAAATACTTTTTTCTCTGCCCTTACCTTTTCACCCCATTCAGTCGGTAGTAGAGGCCACAGGCGTTGCAGATCGATTCACCCTCCGGTGTCCGCCGCCACATCGAGGTAATCTTCGTGGAGCAGTTCACACAGCTCAGGCCCATCTTCCGCGCCGAGGAGAGCAGCTTTCGCATGTTGGGGAGGAAGGGCCGGTGGAAGCCATTGACGCGGAAGTAGATGCCGCAGGCGTTGCACAGGTCATGGTCGTTGTACTTGCGCCAGAGCGGGGTGTCGTTAACGCCGCAGTTGGCGCACTCCTTGTACTCGGTACTTTGTACCACGACGGCTGCTGCTGCTGCTGCTGCTGAAGAAGAAGGTGGTGAAGAAGTTGTGGTCTTACAGCTGTTGTTATTTGCCACCAGATTCGGTTCAGCTGAGGCAAACAGTGCAAATGATGGTGGTGATGGTGATGATCCTGATGGTGAAAAAGTTGCCGTTGCCACTGTCCGATGAGCAGTACCAATGACTGGTTCAACCGAAGCAGTATCCATCGGCAATCCTAAGCACGGTAATCTAGAACACTTGTTTTCTCTCTGGTTAGCCTCTGCCGACCAACTGTCGCTAGCTGAAATTCGGATACAAAGCTTGTGCCTCTCGGAGTGCCCAGTCTATCTAATTTTATATGAAAAAACAAATATCGCCGTCTGAAGAAGCTACCGAACACTGTGATGCTGGAGGAAAAAGAGGCGATGAAATGCCGCTGCTGCTGTGTATGCTGTGTATGCATTGCACTGGCTACCATCACCTTTTTCTATCCTTATTGTCTTTTAATCTTAATTTGGTTTTCACCTGCTCAGGTAGGCACTGCTTTCACTGCTTGCTTTGTTTTTACTTGGAGGGGCCATTAAGATTATTGCGACCAGGGCTGCTGGTGGACGTCAGCTTTATTAGGAAGTTTAGTTTTATTATTTGGCCGATGCCAGGTTTCTCAACTTTGACTAGACTTTCTCTTCATTTTATTTCCTTTCAGTAAATATATTTCGGCAAAATAAGCCTGGCCTGAGAATGGAATCAGCTGAAACAGTTGATCAGAATGAGATCAAATGAGTTTGTTAAAAAAATTGAAAGTGAGAGATGAAGCAGTTGCCACTGCAAGAGAAAAAGGACACGAGAGTAAGAGAAGGCAACATACTTTATTATTACAACTATCAGGTAAGACAAGTGATTATACAAAAGTGTTTTCCAACACTACTTAGTGCCTGGCTCACTGGAACAGCAGTTTCTCGGCGGAAATGCACTCTTCCTTTAACTTCAAGATGAGTCGATTCAACGGGACACCGGGATGGAGGGCGAAGAGAGAGGACTGGAGGCAGTTTTGAGCCCTCGATGAGTTGAAAGGTGACGAGTTTCGATTGATGTAACGGCCGATCTGAACACCACAACCACGACAGTAGAACTCTTCGATGTATATGGAGTACAGGTTGGGCATCGTCACCGGCAGATTCAGCCACTGCACCACAGAGTGAGAGGAGATGGCCAAGCGCAGTTCAAGAGCTCGTAGCGAGTTCAGCTGCGCCAGTGGACGTGCTTGTAGTGGTAACTCCTCGCCACTCCACAAATATACCCCCAACCCCAAGTGGACTAGCTGGTGAAGTTGAGAGAGGGAAGTGAACAGCGGCACGACATCAGTCATGACAATTCCGTTGATAAAGATGGAAGTGAGTGAAAGAAACTGGCTGCAAAGGAGGGGCACTCGGTCACGGGTGTAGTCAAGATAACTCCATCCGAAGCGAACAATGCGACTGTGAAGTGGCTGGCTGAGGCTGAGCAGAGCATCGGTATCACAGGAAAGCAGGTAAACTTGAAGGTCGGCATTGTCGGTGGCATAGCGCTCGAGGGAACGCAAAAAGGGGCGCAGGTTGAAAGATTGGAGGGCCACTACTTTCAGCTGGGCGAGTATGGGTAGATCGTAAATGTGGGCGTCGCTATACCTGTAGAGGGCCAGATGCTGGAGAGCAGTGAGACCGTTGATGGCGGTGATCAGCTC